TTGATTGTTTGGGGCGATTTAAAAAAAAAAAATATATATATATATATATATATAAAGGAAGTTATAAAAATTTCATACTATGATGTCTTTGAAAAGCCTCATATATATTACTTATCAAATAGTTTAAAGTAATAACTTGATTTGCCTTGTATTTTTAAAGGATATGTCATATACTATGTGATATGCGTTAGGCACATTTCATTAACCATTTCTTAGTGCCATTTAGGTGGTTTGCAATTTTATTTGGCTATATAAAGGAAGTTATAAAAATTTCATACTATGATGTCTTTGAAAAGCCTCATATATATTACTTATCAAATAGTTTAAAGTAATAACTTGATTTGCCTTGTATTTTTAAAGGATATGTCATATACTATGTGATATGCGTTAGGCACATTTCATTAACCATTTCTTAGTGCCATTTAGGTGGTTTGCAATTTTATTTGGCTAGAAACAATGCTTTACCGTATCCCTTTTTATCTAAGTGCCAGTATTTTTGTGGGAGGAGAAATCTCTAGAAGTAAAGTGGTGTGCGTCTTTTAAAGTTTGACAAACATTGCCAAGTTGCTTTCTATAAATCTGCATTAATTTGTCTTTCCTCAAGGGGTATAAAGGCTCCTATCTCTTCACACACTTGTCAAGAATTTATCTACATACATGTTAATCCTAGAGATTAAAAATGTTGTTTGTCTTTCAGATCATGAACATCTTTGAATAGGTTTATTGGCTACTTTTATTTCCTTTTATAAGACTGTTGATTCATCTTGTCCCACTTTTCTATTGAATGGCTCATCTTTTTATTTCTTATGGATCTTTTAGGGTTCTTTGTCTATCTTGGTCTCTCTCTTTACCTGTCTTGTGTGTGCACATTTATGTGAATTAATCTCTTATTATGTCGTTCCAGTATTTTGGCTAACCTGTTTATTTTTTAATCTTCTTTACGATATTTTTGTCCTATTAAAGTTCTATTTCACAGACAAATTTGTCATTTTTTTGCTTTTGTTAATACTGGGGGTTTGACCCGGGGTGTTCTATCACTGAGCTACATTCCCAGCCTTTTTCACGTTTATTTGGAGACAGAATTTCACTCAGTCGCCCATCTAGACCTTGGATTTGCAATCTTTCTGTCTCAGTTCCGCTAGTAGTTGGGGTTATAGGCTTGTTTCACCATACTCAGCTATTTGTTTTTACTATGTGTGAAAACTTACAAAGAATTTCTCTACTTACATCTAATGATTGCTGAATCTCTAGGTCTTCAGTTCATCTGACATTTTTACTTGATGTCAAATAGCTCCTTTACATATTATATTTAATAACTACTATAATAAATATATAGTATGACAAGACTTCTTTGTTCTTTTTTTTTCTGTTACATGGGTCTATATTTCTATTCTTGTCAGACCATTACACAGTTTTATTACTAAAACTTTATAATACAGAGATATATTCTCCCTAATTAACCAAAAATTTCCAGCTGGCCGTGGTGGCACACACCACCTGTAATCCCAGCAGGCTAAGGCAGGAAGATAGCAAGTATGAGCACAGCTCTGGTACCTTAGTGATTAAACGAGACCCTATTTCAAAATAAGCAAATTTTAAGATTGCTGGGAGTGGGAATCACCAGTAAAGCACACACACAGACACACACAGACACACACTTTTCTGGTTTTTCTCTTGTATTTACTCTTCCAGGTAATGTTTAAGATTTATCCAGTTAACTCTGATTTCCCACATCAATGCTGTGTCGGGATTTCCCTAGCAGTAACAGACTAATTTGTCTTAGACTGCCCTTCCTGCTAAAGAACTACGAGGAAGGGTGGACAACACATTTTTCTTTTTTCACAAATGTGTTAGAAAATGTTGGAGAACGACAAAGACAGCAAAAAGCACGAATGTAGCTGTGGATATTGAGACTCCTTTTTTGAAGAGAAAATTTTAAGTGTGTGTGTGTGTGTGTGTGTGTGTGTGTGTGTGTGCGCGTGTGTGTCTGTAAAATCTTAGAGGCAGTACAGGAGAGCTGCCAAAGAAGAAAGTTCTTGAAGAGGCGAGAACACTTAGGAAAGAAGGTCTATAAGGTTGAGATCAATTGGTAGCCATTGGTGGCGGGAAAAACTAATGTGAGTTTTCTTTTTCATTCATATTGGGAAGATATTGTAAAAAATCGAGTTAAGTGGCCACCAAGGAGGCCTGGCCCTGGTAAATAAATATTCAAAGCTTTTACTTGGAATTCTTGAAGGGCTCTGCAATGGAAGTAGGGGCAGCAGAGAGTAGAGTCACCCTTGCTTTCACGAAGACAGAAGCCCAGCTCTATTGATTAGGGTGGTTACAGTGACTTACCTCTGTGTTGACTTGTCACAAGCAAAATAAAATTCTTTCTGTGGAAGATTGCATCCTAAATAGCTCTGAGTTATCTCTGTAATTTTACAAGCATATTACTTAGAGTTAAATTTTAAAATGATAGGAGCTAGCCGCCCCATAAATAAATAAATACACACACACACACACACACACACACACACACACACACACACACACACAAAAGAACACCCTAGGAGTAGATGCACAGGTGATCTAGATGTAGGAGTTTGTAAGGCACAAGCTTTGTTATTAATGTGGTCAAGAAGCAGGATGACACAATGCAGACTTTCTTTGGAGAACTGGAGACTGAAAAAGAATAAAATTGTAGAAGAAAAAAAATATGGGAATCAAAATTAAGGGCTTAATATTAGTTTAACATTAAATCATTCACCACTAAAAAACAAATTTGAGAATTGAAATATAGATTAGCGGAAATACCAGAAAAAATGCAGGAAAATAATGACATTAAAGTAGAGGATTGAGGGATATATGGTGGAGTCCTGAAAAGAAGAAAAAGAAAAAAAATGGAGTGGAAGCATATTCAAAGAGCTCATGAATGAGATTTTCTAAAAATTGTTTTTAAAAATCAAGTTACACTTTGCAAGAAATACTATAAACTCTAATAATATGTAACCAAAAAGCCACACCTAGAGCCACACCATAAAACACAGAGAACATCTTAAAACCAGTCAAATGAGACAAAAAGATTATCTTGAAAGGTCCTACAAAGACTTGACAGCTGGCTTCTTAGAAATAACCAGGGAGTTCAGAAGAAAATGGAGTAATATCGCCAAACCTTTGACTACATACACAGCAGCTTTTCCTTGAACACCACAAATCAATTTATGAAATAATCAGTTCTATTTGGCACATGTAGAATTCATAGACTTTTTCACATATTGTGCTAAAATATATGTGCTTGTAATTCTCACTGGTTCTAGGTTCACCTATGAGAACATCAGAGAAGCTGACATTTTAGGAATTTTGAAGCTAATTTGTGAGAATAACTTTCAATGGTTTTAGAGTTTGTAACATTTTGCCAAACTCACCTTAGGTCTTCTATCACCCACCCATTCTATAAACACTGAATATCTATTATACACCGATTACTTTCCCAAATGATGTAATTACAATAACAACTATAACATTTTCCCTCTGCATGAGGAATTCCTCATGACAAGGTAGGAAAGACAGAACATAGTAACTGCAGTGCTGTGTGATGATTTCAGTTATGAGTGTAAACATGAGATGGTATGAAAATATATGACAAGGTCTTTCATTCAGGATGGGGGATGAGGCTACAGGTCTTAGAAGAATTGACGAGTGAGATGAGACTAGCCGTACTTGGGGTTTTGGGTGAGAAAAGCCAAATAATTGTTCTAGGTATAGAGAACAAAATCGTAAAGTAGAAAAGCCGGCTGGGGATTTAGTTCAGCGGTTTGGTGGCCTGCCTGGCAAGCACAAGGACCCGAGTTGGATCCCCAGTACCACACACACACAAAAAAAACAGAAAGAAAAAAAGAAAAAAGAAGTAGAAAAGCATGTCAGCCGGTTCTACCCTGTTCTCAACTACAGAACATGAACTCCTTTCCGAAGTCAGCATATACAACTTCCAGCAGCTTGAGAATTACGCTTCAGCTGAGCAAACTCAGTGCAAAGAAAGCTTTTTCCAAAAGTCAATTTACCTTTCCCAGACATGAATGCTCACTGACCTTGCTCGGCTCTTATGCCCGTGCTCCAGGCTGTTAGAAGTGGGAGTGGAATGCAGTTCTAAGGTGGGACGACCTTGAAGCAGGCACCCATTCCTTGAGGGAAAAGAGGCTATGGTTAGGGGGGATTATTAATTGCCATCTCCAGTGGAACCATAGCATACAGGAAGGATAGGATTCCAGGAGTAAAATGTTAGCCAGAAATGAATAATACCCCTGAAACCCTCTCAGTCTAATCAGCTGGGGCTGTCTGCTGCCATATTCTCAGGAGCTTTTCTGCATCACCATAGAAAGAACGCAGAATTTGGAACCTGAATTCCTTATCAGATAGTTTCCCCACTTACTACTAGTGTTACCCTAAGGAAGTCATGTAAATCTCTGTTTATAAAAGTATTGCAGTGTCATAACTAGATTCTTGCAATTCACTAACTAGATTCTTGAAAAATTAAATGAGGTCATCGATATGTAGTTATCCACTGCAAGCCCAATCCTCAATAACTGCTTAGACGTCGTTCGTTTTTCTCTTGGACTCTTGGGCATGTGAGGGTACGGAAGCTCTGGGGATGAGAGCTGTGCCCACACAGCTCAGGTATTTCCAAGATCAAGAGACCACAGGAACAGACTGTGAAAAGGGCTGAGTCGGTGGCAGAGGAGAGGAGATTTGAGTGGGGAAGAGGATTTGGGTAGGGGTGTAGGTCAGTTAGCTTTTGAGTTGGGTTCTGGTGCCGTGTGTGTGTGTGTGTGTGTGTGTGTGTGTGTGTGTGTGTGTACACGTGTGTTCATATTTATGTGTCTTTATCATGGTGAACAAGTTAAAGGTCAATTATGCTACCCATTCTGTAAGTGAGGTTAAAGAATGAAGGGTCAGAGAAAAGCATTTTATGATGTAAATGTACTTCTTCCTTTTGTATAAATGCCTTACCCTTTGTGCCAATAACCTTCAACACACTGAGCGTGATGAAATTTTGCTTCAGATTAAAGTTTGCTGCAAGTTGCATTTGGTGACAACAGTATCTGTGCTCACGCGTGCCTTGCCGTGCTGTGTTGTTACTCTTGGAGCTTGGCTTCCTGCTCACATATTTAAATATGAAAGACAAACTGCTGAGGAAGTGAGTGCAGATAAATCAGACGCCCTCCCGAGACCGATCTCTGTCTCCCCTCTTTGCCGCGCGCATTTCCTTCTCTGTGACCTTCACACTCGCGTGGTGACTGGACTTCTTTCCTGGGAGGCCTTCCGACTTCCTAGGCATGCTGAGAAGAGAATTAGAAGAGGGTGGGAGCGAGGAATGCAGTGATTACCAAGAGTTTGTGTTTTTAGTACTGGAAAAGAAATTGGATCTTTCAATTTATTTCTGTTAATAACTCGAGACGGTGGCATCAAGGAACCTTGCTCCTGTCTTTCTGCTCCTTTTTTCTCCTCTGTTATCCTTATTCCTCCTCTCCCATCTCCTCTCTTCCCCTCTCTTGGCTTCTTCTTTCCTCCCTGCCTGCCTTAACCTTAACTGGTATTCTCTGAATACAAATAATAGCATAATTAAAAAGAGACATTTATTATTTAAATAAAAATGGTAGCATCATGGTATAAAAATAAGAAAGCTTAGCCGAGTTTAAAAAGTGTTCTTGTAATTACCACTTTAAATACCAGTGAGACGGTGCGGGGAGAGGTGGTCTCTGTAGCCACTGCTTATGTGCTGCCATGGAAACATCTGGGCTGCAGCGTTAACTGTGCAGCTTGTCAAAAACATCAACTTTGGCACGGGGAAATGACAGTGCATGGAACACAATTTTGACCAGGGGGGAGCTTCCATGAAGTGAAGCATATGTAAAACTGTCTCCAGAGAGAGCAAAAAAATACAATAAAATAAAAAAATAAATAAAGACGAGTCTCCTTCCTGCAGCCATCCTTACGAAGAACGATGGCAAAGAACTCCCAGTGGGTTCAGGGAGAGAGGAATCTCCGTGTACGTCCCCGCTCCCTTTGCCTGGCTTGCTTATTTGTTTTTAATCATTTTGTTTTTTAACATATGCACCGGGTATAATTGTTAAAAATGCACTCGGAAAATGGATTTCCTCTAGCAAGCTAATTTAGCTGTGCATTCAATCAAATTTGAGACTAAACTGTATTATTTCTCCTTCAGGGTAGATTCCTCCAAAAATCATCTCCAGACTTTGGCAGGAGTAACTTGTCTGCAAGACAAGGAGAATAAGGAGGCAGGGAGCAGGGAGAGGGAGGAAAGAGCAGGAAATTAGGAACCTGTTGACCGGGCTTTGAGACCTTCTCCTGCCCTTTATTAATTTGTTGTCTTGGGCAGCTAAGAAAGTGCATAGATTCTGTGTTTGTTTTTTTTCCCCCCTACAACATAGGAAAGATAATAGGGTAAAAGTCCAAGGGAGAGCTTTGTGAGTTATAAGGTGCTATACCAATGGCAGTTTTTAAATTCTCTTGGGAGTTTTTACTTCCTGTTAGCAAGGGAAGGAGCCGCACCCAGGGAAAACTTCCTAAGATCCTTTCACTGGCTGCAAGTGGGGAAAGAATGCGTCTGCTCCATGGTCAGGCATGGTGTGGCCAAACTGTAAATTAATAGAGCTTTCATTCATTCTTGTAGATATCTAATATTTACCAAGGTATTCTTAAGTAAAAGGCAGTGCGCTAGGCAGTGATGAACGGTAGTTCCCAAATTCTGCCTTTCTGGATCCTCACTCTTGCTCGGAGACAAAACCAAAAGAAAGGCACCTCCTCTAAAACTCTCAAAACTGTGGTAATTTCTGTAAAGAAAAGAAACGAGGGAGCTAGAAAGGTTTTTCAATGGGAGGAAGGTGGGACTAGACAGATATGCTGAGGAAGGACTGTCTGAGAAAGCAAAGTTTTCAAGGACAGAGGTAGGAAAATATTTAGCAGACGCAGCATGTGCTAAGGCCCTGAGGTGGAGAGGAAGTTGGCTCAGTGAGGGAGATAACCAAAATAGGTCAATATATCTGGGAATAAGAGCCAACAGCAGAGAGGCACAGATTGAGACTGGGCCACAGCTACAGGCTAAGTAGCAATTTTATTCTGTGTGAAATGGAAAAGTCTTTGAAAATATTTAAAACTAATCCCACCTCAACTGTCCTACCGAGTCTTTTAGAGCTAGCATCCTTGTTATTTTGCCTGGTAACTTAACACACCTGTACATATAAGTATGAAAGAAATTCTGGTTATCACTACTAAGGGAAATATGCACATTGAGCTGAGTTCATTTTGTTGCCACCTTAGAAGTTTACATTGAACATAGTAGGTGGTTTTTATTAGCAAAGGGTCCCTCCATCTTCCATTCATAGTAAATTACAATTCAGAATTGAGGAACAGGAAAGAACAGACTGAGATTTTTTTTTTCATCAGAAATATACATAGAGTGAGGTGGAATTCTCTGAACTTAACTGTGGTGGTGGAACTCTTAGGCTACTCTGGTGGCTTCTTATATATATGTACATATTTAAAAACATTGAAGAATTCAGAGTGCTGTATTCAACAAGCATATGAATAAAACTCTGTTCCATTATGCTCTCTGTTTTCAAATTTTTGTTCTGGGTAGTCTTGTCGCTGAGCGAAAAATGCTAATTGGACATTTGATTCATCCGGACAGCTGTGAATGGAATTTTTGCTAACCAGCAGCAAATGTACACCCAGAACAGCATGGCAAATGGCCTTTGGCAGGGACGGGATACTAGCTGTGTGTGCCATGTTCCGATCCACAAGCATCTCCAAGTCTTTCTTTTTTTTTCTTAAATTTTATTTTTCCTTGAAAGATTTTTTAAAATTAAATATTTCTATAAATTAATCTTCGTAATTGAACATGGCTGACCCAGTTCATTGGCATGGGAAAAGCTGCTCTGCGACAGCCTTCACTGTATTCCAAGGGGTACACTGATGGAGCCGGACGGGAAATTCTTGCTTTCCAGTTGGAAATGCAGAGCAGATGCTGGCACTGTGAGCCAAACAATGCCTGTTTGCACTCCCTGTCCGACATGGACCGCGTCCTCTGCCACATTGGTGTCCAATAGTGCTCTTTAATTTCTTTAGGAATAAATACCTTTGGCCACGAACTATCCCACAGCAGGCATTCTGAATGTTGAGAAGATGGTACTGACCTTTTTTATGTGCTTTTATATTGGGCAAACTGGTGAATCATTTTATATCAGATGATGCTCATTGTAAGCAATTACAGTTAACTAGAAGTGAGCCCTGGAAATAACCCACGGGAGTTACAACAAACAATGAAATCGCAGGTCTCGCTAGAGACGTGTTCTATTTCAAATTCTTCCATGATGATTTTGATGTGCACCCTTAACGAAGGCTCTTTCATCAAACTCTGACTGTTTGAAGCTCACAATCTCTCTCCTTAGTTCAACGGAGGATATAGGGACAGTCTTAATAATCTATTTATGCACCACATATTTTCCATATTTTTTGGGGGGTGGGGTACTGGGGATCGAACTCCAGACTTTGTGCTTGTGATGCAGGCAGCAGCACCACTGAGCTAAACACCTGGCCCCGACATTTCCCATAGTGAAGGAAGACTCTGGAGGAAATCAAACAGATTAGCGTCTCCAAACCCGCTGACCTGTGTGCCCTTCACCACCACGCTCCACTCTGTCACCGTCTGGATTTCTAGAAGTCTGGATGACTTTTTTACCCTAGAGTCTATAACTTTGGGTCCCATTGTTGGCTCAGTCCAATTCTCCTTCCAGTTTTAAAACATTCCATTAGTCACATTTATTTCGAGGGAAACCACATTTTCCTACTTCTAGTTAAATCTCTGGAGTGTTTCTCATGCAGAGTTCCTGAAAAAAAGGCCCGCAGAGTCTTCTCAACCTTGCCTGTATATTCAAATTATCCGGAGAGTTTGTTTCTAACTCACACAGCCTGCTGGAGCCCTCAAGAAGTTCTTATTTAACTGTTTGGGCCTGAGGTGTCTAATGGTTTAAACAGCTTCACAGGTGATTTTAATATGCAGCCAGATTTAAGAACCACTGGGCCATAAATGTCTCAGTTTGCTTTCCACAAGTCTAAGGATCTGGATTATTATATTAAGGGTTCAATAAAGAGAATGTGATTTTTATTCCAGGGTTGGCTGGATTTATTAGAAACATGCTGGAATGTATGCATGTTCTTCATCATAACATTATTATGACTTGGCTTTTATGTCATTATGCAGATCCAACTGATTTGTTCAGCATCTGTGGGTTTAGACTTCAAGCCTCAGAAAATTGTCATCAAGTCTGTTCTAGCATCAGATGGGGGCTAGTCTTAAAATGCCCATTCATTCACTCTTCGTTTATTTATCCATAAATCAAACAATTACTGAGTCCTTCCTGTATGCTAGATATGGTGGCAAAGGCTAAGACAATATATATCCTTAGGAAACTCAGACAGTAATCGTTGGAAAGAGATGGGCAAGTAATTAGTCACAACAGGATGTCATAAAAATTCTGTACAGAAGGAGTGGATACAAGAGAAGTTCACAAAAGAACATCTGATTGATTCTCTATGGTGAGTAAACATAAAAAAGACAAGTTGAACTAGGTTAATGGAAGTTCAACAAGTAGCTAGTACAGGGTTGGACAGAAAATTATAAGCAAAGGGGAGATGTTTGGCAAGAACAGAGGATTCTAAGTAGGACTTTATGTCTTAAAAATTGAATCTAATTTAGTGGTGCTGCCTGAAGCTTGATGTCTGCAGTGGAAGATGATACTTAGTAGGCAGGAATTGATCACTGAGGGACTTTTCTGCATGTGCATCTATTTATTAAGTTTTATGTGACACAGAAGCCTTCATAAGGTGATGAAGACCTGAGTAGAAGTTACACTTGAGTACACTTCACAATGGCCTGAAGAGTGAAGAGATGTGGGTAAATATGACAGAAGAAAGGGAGTATAGGCTAATGATGGTAGAGTGGAGAAAACAGGAGGTCTATTTATTCAGATTCTTCACTCCATCTCTTCATCTCTCCATTTTAAGAAATAAGATAGCCCTTTCCTCTTGGGATAGGGAGGGCACCTCTCACATGAAGATCATGACCTGCTTCAGGGCAAGGTCATAAATAGACTTTGTATTAATTTTTCCATTACTGGGGCAAAAATATTTGAAATACACAACTTAAAGGAGGAACAGGATTATTTCAGGCAATGGTCAGGTTGCTTCATGGCAGAAACTTCATGGTTGAAGGGTAGGGCGGAGAAAATCTGCTCAATTGAAGGAATCCAGGAAGCAG